TGATCTTCGAGGGCAACCGGTACAGCAGGAAGGGCTTCCTGTTCAAGAGCTTCGCCATGTCGGCCGTGGTGAGACCCAAAATCCTCCTTTCTGGACCCAAAATCCTCCTGTGGGAACCCCAAATCCGTGGCTTGGGCCAAAACCCCCAAGTCTGAGCGCAATTCCCCCCAAATTCCACCCCCCTAGATCACGGAGGGGGTGAAGCCCACCCTGTCTGAGCTGGAGAAGTTTGAGGACCAGCCCGAGGGCATCGACCTGGAGGTGGTGACTGAGAGCACAGGTAGGGGGGTCCCCACCCAAAATCCCCCCCTCTAAGGCCCTCCCCAGACCCTAAATCCCCCCAGACCCCTCTCCCCAGCACCCCCAGCCCCAAACTCCTTTGTCCCTTTAGGGAGCGCAGCTCACAACTTCCAGCCCAAAATAGAGGGGTGTGAGGGGGAGCTGAGTCACCTCCACCAGTGCCCCTAAATCCCCCCAGATCCCCCTCCCCAGCACCTCCCAGGCCCCAAATCCCATTCCTCTCCCAGGGAAGGAGCGGGAGCACAACTTCCAGCCCGGGGACAACGTGGAGGTGTGCGAGGGGGAGCTCATCAACCTGCAGGGGAAGATCCTCAGCGTGGACGGCAACAAGATCACCATCATGCCCAAGCACGAGGACCTGAAGGTCTGGAGATCCCAAAAAACCCTGAAATGCCCCCGAAACTTCTTTTTGCCAGCCCTGACAGGGGTGTTTGTTTTTTTTTTCCAGGACATGTTGGAGTTCCCGGCCCAGGAGCTCAGGAAGTACTTCCGGATGGGCGACCACGTGAAGGTGATCGCGGGGAGGTTCGAGGGCGACACGGGACTGATCGTCAGGGTGGAGGAGAACTTCGTCATCCTCTTCTCTGACCTCACCATGCACGAGGTGAGCTCAGTGCGACAAACATGGGAAATGGGGTCGGGGGAGCGTTTGGGGTGAAAAACGAGGGGTTTGGGGTCGGTTTGGGGGTTGGGGTGAATCCCAGGGGTTTGGGGTCAGTGCAGGTTTTGGAGTCAGTGCTGATTTTGGGGTAAATCCCAGGAGTTTTAGGTCCATCCTGGTGTTTGAGTCAGTCCCAATTTGGAGTCAATCCCGCTGGTTTGTGTCAATCCCATTTTGGGGTGAATTCAGAGGATTTTGGGTGTGTTTCCCCCCCCCAGCTGAAGGTGCTGCCCCGGGACCTGCAGCTCTGCTCCGAGACGGCGTCGGGGGTGGACGTGGGGGGGCAGCACGAGTGGGGGGAGCTGGTGCAGCTGGACCCCCAAACCGTGGGGGTGATCGTGAGGCTCGAGAGGGAAACTTTCCAGGTGAGACCCCCCCCTAAAATATGGGGGTTCCTTGATCACCCCCCCAAATCCAGGAGGGTTTGGGAGGTTCCCAAATCTGGGGGTCCCCACTGTCACCCCCTGGGTGAGTCCCCAGGTTTCCCCCCCACGGGTGGGTCCTGTGGGAGGTGGGGAGGGGTCCCGAGCTCTGCCCTGTCCAAGGGCTGTGCCCCCCACCCCAGGGGGTCTCCCAGTTTGGGGAAGCCCCCTCCCCAGACCCCCCCGTGCCCCCCCAGGTGCTGAACATGTATGGGAAGGTGGTGACGGTGCGGCACCAGGCCGTCACCAGGAAGAAGGACAATCGCTTCGCTGTCGCCCTGGACTCGGAGCAGAACAACATCCACGTCAAGGACATCGTCAAAGTCATCGACGGCCCCCACTCCGTGCGTCCCAGGGGGGTCACTGGGGGGTCTGGGAGGGCTCCTTGGGGTGTTCTGGGGGTCCCCGGGTCTGTCTGTGTCTCTGGGAGCGTCCCCCAGTTCCCTCCCTTGGTTTGGAGTTTGTTCCCTGCTCTGGGATTTACCCTCCTTTTGTGGGTTTCCCTCATTTTTGGGGGTTTCATCTCTCTTTTTTGGCTTTCCACCTACTCTTTTTGGGATTCCAGCTCCTCTTTTTGGGGTTCCCCCCCTTGTTTTGGGTTTGTCCCACCCTTTTTTTTAGTTTCATGCACCCCTCTTTGCTTCTCTCTTCCCTTATTTTGGCGTTTCTCCCCCTTTTTGAGTTTCACCCCCTTTTCTGCCCCTCACCGCCCTCGTTTTGGGGTCTTTCCCCCCCCCAGGGCCGCGAGGGCGAGATCCGACACCTTTTCCGCGGCTTCGCTTTCCTGCACTGCAAGAAGCTGGTGGAGAACGGGGGGATGTTTGTGTGCAAGACCCGCCACCTGGTGCTGGCCGGGGGCTCCAAGGTCTGTAGGGCCTCCCCCAGACCCCCAGTTTTCCCAACTTTGCCCATTTTCCCTCCTCACCCTCTTTTTCTCCGCCCCCAGCCCCGGGACGTCACCAACTTCACGGTGTGCGGCTTCACCCCCATGTCCCCCCGCATCAGCAGCCCGATGCACCCCAGCGGGGCTGGTGAGTCTGGGGGCACTCCTGGGGGTCTTTGGGGACCCCCCGAGCACCCCCTGACCCTCCCTGTGCCCCCCCAGGCCAGCGGGGGGGCTTTGGGGCCGGCGGGATGAGCCGCGGGCGGGGCCGGCGCGACAACGACCTGATCGGGCAGACGGTGCGGATCTCGCAGGGGCCCTACAAAGGTGGGTGTGGGAACCCCCCCAGAGCCCCCCTGGGACCCCCCTGGACCCTCCCTGACCGCCCCCCGTGCCCCACCAGGGTACATCGGGGTGGTGAAGGACGCCACGGAGTCCACGGCACGTGTGGAGCTGCACTCGACCTGCCAGACCATCTCCGTGGACAGGCAGCGCCTCACCACCGTGTGAGTGGGGGGAGAGACCCCCAGAGACCCCTGGAGGGGAGGGGAGACCCCCCCGTGGGGTGGGAACATCCCTGTGGGTTAGGGTGACCCCCTTCCACGGGTTGAGATGGTCCTTGCAGATCCCTCAGAGGGTTGGGGTGGTCCTGGGAGACCCTTGGGGGCTCAGTGGGGGCCCTTGGAGACCTCTCAGTGAATTGGGGTGACCCTTGGACCCCCCTAAGTGGGTCAAGGTGGTCCTGGGAGATGCTCCAGCTGGGTCAGGGGGTCCTTAGAAGCCCCCTGGCCACACAGAGGGGGCTCTCTCAGGGGTTCTGACCCCTCTTTTCCCCTCCAGAGGGTCCCGGCGCCCAGGGGGGCTCACGTCGGCCTACGGGAGGACCCCCATGTACGGCTCCCAGACCCCCATGTACGGCTCAGGGTCCAGGACCCCCATGTACGGCTCCCAGACCCCCCTGCACGACGGTGAGTGGGGATGAGGGGGGGCCGGGGGGGCTTGGAGGGGAAACTCTGGGGATTGGTGGGACCCTGGGAATGGGGGCAGGACGGGGGGAGCTCTGGGACCACGAGGGAGGCTCCAGGGGGGCTTGGAGGGGGCTCTGGGGGGACCCTGAGAATATGGGGGGGGGACTCTAGGGGATCCCCACGGGCAGGGGAAGTGCCTGTGGGGGTGAAGGCATTTTTGGGGTGTCCCCCCAGGGAGCCGCACCCCCCACTATGGGTCACAGACTCCCCTGCACGACGGGAGCAGGACCCCGGCCCAGAGCGGGGCCTGGGACCCCAACAACCCCAACACCCCCTCGAGGTGAGACCCCCACCCCAAAACCCCCCCAACAACCCCCAGAAACCCCAATCCTCTTCTACCTGAGACCCCCCCCATTTCCTCCCTTTGGGGTCCCTTTCCTCACCCCCCCCATTTCATGTCTCCCCCAAATACCCTGTTTTGTGTCTCCCCTGCTTTGGGGGGTCCCATCTGTGTCTCCCCCTCTCTGGGGGGTCCCATCTGTGTCCCCCCCTCTCTGGGGGGTCCCATTTGGGCCCCCCCTTACGTTGCCCCCCCAGGGCGGACGAGGACTTCGAGTACGGCTTCGAGGATGAGCCCACGCCGTCCCCCCAGGGCTACGGGGGGACCCCCAACCCGCAGACCCCCGGGTACCCCGACCCCGCCTCCCCCCAGGTCACGCAGCCCTACAACCCCCAGACCCCCGGGACCCCTGCCATGTGAGTGACAAACGGGGGGGGACCCCAAAAACAGGGGGTAGGGGGTGAACACCGAAATCTGGGGGAGTGGGGGGACCCCAAAATGTCATTCTGGGGGGAAAATGGTCTTCTGGGAGACCCCAAAATGGTTTGGGGGGGTGGGGGAACCCCAGAGTGCTGCAGGGGGGGACAGGGGGACCCCAAAATCTGGGAGGGGGGCAAGGAGGGGTGCAGTGCCCCGAAACGTCACTTTGGGGGGAAAATGGGCTTCTGGGGGACCCCAAAACAGGGGTTGTGGGCGCCTGAGGGACCCTAAAACTCAGAGGGGGTGGCTCCTGATCCCCAAATGTGGCTCTGAGGAGAACCTGGGCCCTCCCAAACGCCCCCCAGGTGTGACCCCTCCTCTGGTTTCTCCCTCCAGGTACAACACGGAGCAGTTCTCGCCTTACGCCGTCCCCTCCCCTCAGGGGTCCTACCAGCCCAGCCCCTCCCCCCAGAGCTACCACCAGGTGGCCCCGAGCCCGGTGGGCTACCAGAACACCCACTCGCCGGCCAGCTACCACCCCACCCCCTCCCCCATGGCCTACCAGGTAACCTGGGACCCCCAAACCTCCCCAGGACCCCCAAACCCAACCCTGAACCACCGTGAGTCCCCCAAACGCCCCTGAGCTCCCCCAGCCCCACTGGACTACCAGAACACCCACTTGCTGGGCCATGTTCCCCCACCAGTACCCTACCAGGTACCCCCAGGACCCCCCAAGTCCCCCTAAAACTCCGCAGGGTCCCCCAAACCCCAAAACAGAGCCATCCCCTCCCCAAACCCCTTATGACCCCCTTACACCCCCACATAGCCCCTCTATGTCCCCAAAGTCCTGCCTTTAACCACCCCCTTGTCCCCCCCCAGGCCAGCCCGAGCCCCAGCCCGGTGGGCTACAGCCCGATGACCCCCGGGGCGCCCTCCCCGGGGGGCTACAACCCCCACACCCCCGGCTCGGGCATCGAGCCCAGCGCGGGCGACTGGGTGACCACCGACATCCAGGTGAAGGTCCGGGACTCCTACCTGGACTCGCAGGCCGTGGGGCAGACCGGGGTCATCCGCAGCGTCACGGTGAGACCCCCGCCCTGGGGGGCTTCATCAGGGGCTGGGGGGTCCATCCTGGACTCACAGGCTGTGGGACAGAGCCTGGGTTAGCCAGAGTGTCCCGGTGAGACCCCCACCCTGGGGGGACTCTGGGGGCTCTGTGGGTGCTCCGGGGGTTCATTTGGGGGTCTCAGCCCCCCCATTCCCCCCCCCAGGGTGGGCTGTGCTCCGTGTACCTGAAGGACAGCGAGAAGGTGGTCTCGGTGTCCAGCGAACACCTGGAGCCCGTCACCCCCACCAAGAGCAACAAGGTGAGACGCCCGCCCCCTCAGAGACCCCCAGACCCCTCTGGAGACCCCCCTAAGACCCTCTGGATCCCCTCCCCAGGTGAAGGTGATCCTGGGGGAGGACCGGGAGGCCACGGGGATCCTGCTGAGCATCGACGGCGAGGACGGCATCGTGCGGATGGACCTGGAGGAGCAGCTCAAGATCCTCAACCTGCGCTTCCTGGGGAAGCTGCTTGAGGCCTGAGAGACCCCCGGGACCCCTGCCCACTTTTCTGGCCAGTTTTCTCCCTTCTCTGGCCGTTTTTCCCCCTGTTCTTGCTGGTTTTCCCTGGTTTTTTTCCTGATTTTCCTTATTCCTATTTTCCCTCATTTTCTCTCCTTTTCCCTCCCCGTTTTCCCCCCCATCTCATTTTTCTCCCCCCCTCTCTGTTTTTCCACCCCATCTCATTTTTCTCCCCCCCCCATCTCGTTGTAGCCAGGTTTTGATGTTCAATAAAGTTCTGGGGGTGCAGCCCCTCCTCCCCCAATTCTGTGAGGGTCTGGGGATTTTGGGGCTGGTTTAGAGGGGTCCCAGGGGGATTTTGGGGCCGGTTTTGGGGGTCGCCCTTTGCAACCCCCTGTTAGCTCTGGGAGCGCATGCGCCGCGCCGTCTTCGTGCC